GTGAGCTTATTTATGATGTTCATTTAATATGTCATTGAATGAACTGGCTTTTGTCTGCTTTTAGTTTTAGGTTTCCCCCTACTTTTCATCCCTGATAGTTTCATCTTCCAAGCATATGGAACATTAACATCTTTCTAAATTATTACTACACATATGGGAACTGTGCAGAAAGTGATATCTTAAGAACTGTGGCCCTCTGCTGACTCCCTCTTACCTGTCAGCAAGTCACTGTTCTGCACATCATCAGCTGGTGTAGAAAAATAACTCCACTGTCTGCTGGCTGTTTGTCCTGGCATTTATTATAAAGACAGTCAGATTTATGTTGTCTTTTGCAAGTGCTCATCATACTTTCCAAATCTTATTCCTGGTAGTGCTATTCCTGTTTTACTGATGAAGAAACTGAGGCTCCTTGCTCATACTATTGCACAACAGACTTGCAACTTTGCCTTTTGGATAAGTAGCCTATTTCATATGCCTTAGAATTTGGATAGTACTACATAAGATACCACATGTTGCAAAGCAAACACTTGGAGATGTACAGTCCTTAATGAATGCGATTGCTCCCAAACAAAGCCACAACCCTGATTCTGGGAACGCGACTGCCTCATTTGGTTTCCAGAGTATGTAGTCCTTTTGGACTAGGGTTTGCATTATCTTTAGCATATTGTATAAGGCTATATCAAGCTAGAAGGAGCATTATTTATTTTTTAGTGGAAGTAGAATTCACAAATAAATTAGAAGTTGTTTTCATTGCATTTATTATAGATGATGATGTGCAACAGTCATCTTTAGTTTCAAGATGTCATCACCCCTAAAGTAGACCTTGGGCTTATTAAGCAAATGATTCTATCTCTTACCCATTACCCACCTTAAACAAGACAATCACTTACCTGCTTCCATGTCTTTAACTAGCTTGAATATTTCATATCAATGGAATAATATAATATGAAGCTTTTTTATCTATAATTTCTTTTAGTAGGGTTGATTTTGAGGGTGTATCTGTGCTTCAGCATGTATTAGTATTGCATTCCTGTTGACAGCCTGATAATATTCTATAGAGAGAGACCACATTTGGCTTGTTTATTTCATCCATGGATGGACACATTGGGGAAAGGGTTTAGTGAAGTCAGAATGAGGAGTGGCTTGTGTGTTGTCTTATATCATGCCATTTGCGAGTCCTGTGAACTTGAACAAGCTCTTAAACTGGCTTGTGTCCTAGTTTCCTTATTTGCAAAACAACACCGATAGTATCTAACTGAAAGTTGTTTCAAGGATTGAATCAGAAATGTGTAAAAAGTTTACAGCAGAGTACCTGGTAAACAGTGGGCCCTCAAAGAACAGTAACCCCTTCACCATGAAGTTGAATGGAGAAGGGGCATATGAATCTCTGTTATAGTGTATGCCTTTGCATGTGTTTATTCTGTTATAGTTGCCAAGTTCTTCTTGCTGCTGCTGCTTTTTTTTTTTTAAAAGGCATATCTGTTTTCTGTGCTTTTTGGTTTGATGCTTTGGACTCCCACCCTATTCCTCAACATGGGATTTTACATTTTAGAAGCAGTTCTCTGGACAGAATATCTGTAGTGGAATGTTACATAATTCAAATTTAGATTTGAAGAGCTCATTATAAGAAAACCTGACACACTTCAGGAATATTAAATTACTGCAGATTGTGTGGAGCAAGGAAACATTATTGAAGCATTTCAAAATTCTAGACAGAGCCTGGATTTAACAGATAGGGTTTCACAGCTTTTACTGGGGAAAATAATTTGAGTTGTCACATGGTTTCTGGCCCTGAAGGCCTTTAATCTCCTTAATTACAAGGAAATGAATTTCCTAAATAATTTGGAGGTACTTCACAGCATTTGCTCAACCTCTGGCTTTTGGAAAATTAAAGGGGATCGGGGGGAGGGGGGAGATGTCCATGCTGAGTACGTTCATTCCTGTACTGCAGTTCCCTTATTTGTTGTTCATTCAGAATGGTGCTGGTGTTGCTTTTCATTATGGATAAAGAGACATACTTTAGAAATAGATAAGCAATGCTCAGGACAGTTGAACACATCATATTTTTGTCTAAGAAGTGACTTTACATACTCATACATCACTATATATTGTGTTATATGGTGATGATTAAAGCTGAGAGGACTAAAGGAACCCTACTCAGTCTGGTTTAAATATATATATATATATATATATATATAACATATATATATATATATATATATTCATAAGTCATGGGGCTTGAACTCTGGGCCTGGGCGCTATCCCTGAGCTCTTCAGCTCAAGGCAAGCATCTCTACTACTTGCGCTACAGCACCAATTCCAGTTTTCTGGTGGTTAATTGGAGAGTCTCACAGACTTTCTTGCTAGAGCTGGCTTTGAACCAATATCCTCAGATCTCAGCCTTCTGAGTAGCTGGGATTACAGGTGTGAGCCACCAGCGCCCAGGTGGTTTTATATTTTGACTTTTAGGAATCCTTGAAATTATGTAAATAGATGTACTTCACCTCCTTAGTGTAGCTATGGATTAGAGACCTACTGTATGTAGGACCAGCATCAAGGGAAATCTTAGATTCTACCACCACAAACTTGCAGACTTCCCCTCTCTCTGTTTCCTCTGTGGACATCACATGCTGGCCATGTAGTCATGAGCAGTAAGACAGAAAACTGCTTCCTATTTACTGAGTGCGTGCCAGGAACTGTAGCATGCAGTCTTCAATCACATTGTATGTGCTGCTACTTCATTTCAACAGCTTTATGGATTTGGCAGTATTAGATCCCATACATAGATGAAAACACAAGGGTGGAAATACAAGTTTCTCAATACTACAAGGCTAGTCAGTCACTAAAACTATGAACACAAACAAGGTGATCACATAACTAGCTTCTGTGTGAATGGAGGGAACAGAAGATTTTCTCTGCCTGGACTGCCTCCCCCAAGGGAACCTTATCAGTCTTGTGGAATGTCAAAGCAGACTGAAAAAAAGGGATGCAACAGAAAGCAACACTGGAAGCAAGGGGAAGATGATCAGTAATCATACATTTGGGTGTTGATTTCCAGCCCTTGCGTCTTAACTCATGGCAATTCTTCTCCCTAAAACAACCATTTACTCATTCTTTTATTATAAATATGTTTATTGAGAGCCCATTGGTCCTTTCACTTGACCATTTCTCAGAATTATTCAAGATCTTCAAGGACTTATCCTTTGTTCAGCTCTATTGAATTTTCCCAAGCAGAGATAAACATTTGTTTCTTTACACTATATTATGCCTGGGAATTATGACCACTTTAGGTCTGATCATATGTGTGTGCTGCCTTCCCCAATGTGACTGACATCCCCTCTGCTCTAGTGTATTTCTTTGAATTACAGGAACCACACTTTGATGATGTTCTTCAGGCCATCATGGAAACGTAGCATTTACACAGTAAATAAATGTCTCTTGACATGAAGGAACCGGTATTTATAGGGGGGGCCCATAATAGGTTCTAATAAATATTAGCTGCAATAAAGTGCTGAATATTAAATATAGTTGTATCCACTTGTGACCACCAAGTTTGGGACTTTACCATCATTTTGGGGGAGGAGGAGCTGGGAAGAGAAACTTGTGGTCGAGTGTAGATGGTGACACAAATGTGACAGAAATTCTGATTTTGCTGTATGGTTTCATAGACCCCATTCCTGGATTCCTTGTTTCTAGCTTTGGGTTTCTAGATTCTTTAGTTCTAGCCTTGGGTTCTGTATTCCAGGTACATACCTTTCGGGCTGGTGGTATCCTTTTATCAAAAATCAATTTATTTTATTTTAAAATACTCACACAAAGTATCTTTGGAGAAAGTGAACATTTCCTTACATTTAAACTTTACTGTAATTTTATATAATTTATGTATTAGGTCTTCTGGCTTAGACTTTAGCTATCTTTAATTCCCATGATTATTGGATCACTATTCTTTCTGAACTGAAATTGGCATCCAAGAACAGCTCTCTGATTAAAAGAGTTGTAATTCTTAAAATGAACTAAGAATTGGCTATACAGTTTGAAGATCCATTTTTCCAATTGTAACAGATTTTTCTTAATAAAGTGGATAACTTAAGAAATATTTATTTCCAATAGAATATTCAGACATATCTATCAGATAGTCTTGACCAAGGGAGTACTTAGTTTAAATGTAATCAAACAAGGTAATGCAACAGTAACCGAGAGCCTAGTATCTAGCAAGTACATAGCAAATACTAACTGTAATTGATGTAGCTTTATTTTCACTATTAATCTCCTCTAGCATATCTGAACTTAAATAATGCCTAGTACTGAGCATATTTATGAATGAGTGGATGGATGAAAGAATGGATGAATGAATGATAATTATGATTGCCTGCTTAATTTTCTTTTCTTTTCTTCTCTATATGAAATGTCGATGTGCTCTTATAGCTGAGGGAGAAACTGACCTGAAAGTTGTCTTCCCAGAAAGTTTTTTAGTGCCATTTGTCACTTTAGCTTGGATCCCACTTACATGTCAACTCCATGTCCCCTCTGATGCCTATCAGCCATGGACAGACCACAGGCCACTCCCCTGTGTGCTACTCGAGCTCTGATCAGCCTTGGCTGATGGATGGGAAATGTCTTCATCATACTGGTCAGGAAATAGGTTTTTGTGGTATTTTCTGGTGGCATCTAATGTTTGACAATAAGGAACATAGGTGAACAAAAGAGTTGAGATTCGGTTCTCTTGCAAACTTGTGTGAGTTCCTCGGAGTGAGAAAACAGTTTTGAAAACAAAAACAAAAACAAAAAACCCCTGCTCCTTCCCTTTGCTGTGTAAACTCCCCTTACATGGCAGAGTAAGTGACTTCATGAAGACATACAAGCAGTTTCTATGTAAAAAACAAGGTTGCTTCTTGTTTTTGTATGTTTGTTAGTTCATTGCCACACACCCCCCCCCCCATAGCTTTTGTTGGATCTCAAAAAGATGAGAATTCTAAGTGTTCTCTTGCCTTAACTTGCAGCACCTCGAAAGCGTGAATGACATGTGCCGCGTGGGGTCTCATTTCTGAAGGGAGGAGTCTTTCTCTTGGAGAGGACCCTCAATGAGCCTGGCGGAGGCCCGGGATCTGTGTGAAGTGGACTAAGGATTAAGTAGGATGTCAACTGAGACAGAACTTCAAGTAGCTGTGAAAACCAGCGCCAAGAAAGACTCCAGAAAGAAAGGTAGGGCCAAGTTGGCTTCCTTCTTGAAAATAGATTTTTCTATATAAGACTGGGATTTAAATCACTGGAATGATTTAAATGTCTGTGGTTGTATATATTTTTTAAAAAGCTATTTGGTATAGTTGGTACTCACATGTGAATGGCTCTCTGTCATTTTCCAGGTAATATTCAAAGTTCTTTTTTATAATAAGCAAAGCCCTACTGTAGATGCTTTCTACTGATCCTGTCAGAGACTACTTCTAATTTCCTTCAGCCTCCGAATTCTACTACTGTGCAGACATTCTGCCTGTTACACTTCATCTTTGTATGCTTAGGTAATTCTCAAACTTTGGCCCAAGAGCCATCACCAGAGAATGTGGGCTGCCTGAAACTGCGTTCATTCATAACAAGTTCTCCAGGTGACTCCTGGCCTGCTGGTCTACAAGCCACATGCTGACAAGCCCTGAACTGTTGCCAGAAATCCTGCTTTGCTCTCTAGGTATCCTGGACTGATTGATCCCTGCCTTTTCTCTACATTGAGCATCAAGCTTCATGGAACTTCCTGCAAGAGTGTTTTCCCATTTCAGTAACTTGCTTTTATCTGCTCTGCTTCAGTAGTACTTTGTTAGTAAAACTCCTGCATCAACTGTACCATTTTCTGGGCTACACTGCTTATTCATCCTGTGTGTCTCCACATGTAGAATGTGTTGACAAGAGAAGCCACACAGACATCTGGTAATAAAACCAGAAATTCTAAAATTTTATATATATATATATATATGCACACACATACACATATATGTATGCATGCATAGGTATCATACATATAAATCATATATGCATAAAATATACACGATATAGATTATACCATATATGTGTGTAAGTATATACATATATACATTTGTACACACACACACACACACACACACACACACACAAACATGTCACTTTTCATGTTTTTAAGAGAATTTCGACCCAGGGATATATGACCTTATCTCTTATAAGTTTGTCCCGGTTGTAATTAGGAGAATGCTACTCCTGGATTTTTCTTCATGCGTGTATAACTGTGAGTGTATATATATGTGCATGTTCCTTTTCTTCCTGTGTTTGTGCCCCCGCCTTCCCCGTTAGCCTTCTCAGTTGCATGGATGGGGATTAAAGAATTCCCTTTCACCTGGAGATCTGTCCTGTGGGTTTGTAAGTCAGGCTGCCTTTAGCCGCTGTGTGTGAACAGTGATTTGTTACAGGCATCACTCTGCCTCTGCAGTCATGTTTTGAGAATGCTGCTTGGTACTCTGTGTGGAGCAAGGAACATAAATGTAATACACATACAGCTCACGGGTTGCCCGAACCCCAGCAAGGACTGTAAATTCTGATTTTGATGTTTATTTGAAACACAAATATTTTTGAAACTGTCTATTTTATTCCCTGAGACTTCTATAAACCTTGTTTTTTTATGCATCATGGAACATGAATAAAGGAAGGAAAGCAAGTGCTGGAGAGAGAGAACAGGTTTTGAGAGAACTGCGGGGGGTAGGGAGAGGGATGAGGACAAGATCGGGAATCCGCCTGGTACACAAGAATTCCAGTGCTTTTTTCCGTGGAAACTGACAAGTTATATTTTTGCTTCAGATTTAACCTTTCCACTAAACTTGTGCTCTTGAATGCTTAATGAATTAGATTGTATTTTGGTACGTATTTTTTTTTCATTCTTAGTTTTAGCATGCAAAACTATTCTAAAAAGGATTCAGGTTTTCAGGACACAGGTTCACCTAAGGATTTGAGATGGGAGCATGAAGGTGACCCTTTTAGAATCTCCTTACTTTCTTCCTTTTATTTATCTTTTTAATTTTATTTTCTTGTAAAGATGTTGTACAGAGGGGTTACAATTACATGAGTAAGGTAATGAGAACAATTTTTGTCGGGCATTGTTACCCACTCGTTTGTTTTTCTCCCACTATCCCTTCCTTCCCCATCTCCCCCACTCCTCCCTCATCCCTGAAGTTGCAAAGTTCATTTCAACATAGTGTCTTGTGAATATTATTGTTGCAATGGGTCATTCTGTGTCCTTATTTCAGCATTTTGTTATTCCCTTACCCCTCCTCAAATTAGATAAATGTCTATACAAGATGCTGGGTACCAAAATCAAGTCCAGTGACAGCAGGGGATATACCCTAGAGGAAAGAACATACAAAGCATACAAAAGAAACAAAAATATCATATAGAACATTAAAAACAACAACAACAAAGAAAAGCCTCTGTGTCCATAAATTGGGGTTCGTTCCATTTAGCATCGTCTTATATGGTCATATGTACATAGCTTTTGAGAGTTTCTGCTCATCTGATAAGATTATCCGAGTATACTATTATTGCAAATGAGGGAAACCATGGGACCTATATTTATTTGGGCCTGGCTTACTTCACTTAATAAGATTTTTTTTCCAAATCTTTCCATTTCCTAACAAATGGGGCAGTGTCATTCTTTCTGATGGAAGCATAGCATTCCATTGTGTGTGTGTGTGTGTGTATTTATTTATACCACATTCTTGTCCTAAAAATCTCTAAAGGTAGCATAACATATGTCTGAAGAATGCCCTCTAGAGAGTGACTTAATGGAACAGGCAGACCTGGGTTCTAATTGTAAAAATACCATTTCCTCATTGTGTGATCTTAAGTAGTTAGTTACCATCTCTGAGCCTCACTTTCCTTTCTTATGAAATAAATGAGTTTATGATATTATAAAACTCAAAGGCTCATTAAGATTAATTGAAATAAGGTAAATAAGTAATCCTATCATTCAAGTGGTTGACTCAGGAGGAGGAGGAGTTTTGGCCAGCATGGGATTCATGGTGAAACCCTATCCCTCCACCCCTCAAAAATGAAAAAAAAAAAAAAAACAAGAGGAAAGAGAAGCACACAAACTACGTAGCATCACACTCCATGCATATTAAGTGCTCAGGAATGGTTAAGGGTCCTCTCTCTCCTACATCTCTCCCGCCTCCTCTTTTCTCTCCGTGTTCCCTTTTCCTTCCCCCTTAACTTCTGTCCTTCCTTCTTTTCCTGTCATCTTTCTCTGTTTTTCTCTTCTCTTCTATCTTATTTATTTTTTCCCATTAGCCTTTCTTTTTAGTCAATTTAAGCAGAGATAACAAAGCACCACACTGAGGGGTTTCAACAACGGAAATGTGTTTGTTACAGTTCTGGATTCTGGAAGTCTAAGAGCAAGATGTCAATCAATCCCTTCCTGGTGAGAGCTCTCTTGCTGGCAAGTACATACTCACCTTCTCAGTTTGTTCTCAAGGAAGAAACATGGGATCTTTTCCTCTCTCCCTGTTTCTGTCTCTCTGTCTCTCTGTCTTTGTATCTTTTTGTCTCAATCTCCCTCCTTTCCTTCTTCCCACTCTCTTTCCCTCCCTCTTTCCCTCTTTCTTTTCTTTCTTTCCTTCTCTCTCCTTAAGGCTTCTTTGGCCACTAAGCCTACCAAAATGTCCCACCGTGGTAATCTCAGCTTACCACAATTACTTCCCAATGGCTTAATTTTCAACTACTGCCACACCAGAGTTTAGAGATTCAGTATATGAGAAAACAACTTTTTTCCAAGTACTCAAGGCTTTGAGCTTGCTAGGCAAACTCTCTATCACTTAAGACATGTCCCTAGTCCTTTTGCTTAGTTTATTTCTCAGATAGAGTCTTTTACTTTACCTGCTCTGGCCTTGGAAATCCATCCTGCAACTCCTGTCTCCTGAGTAGCTGAAAGCATAAGATTGCACTGCACTGCTTGTTTGTGAAACAGAATTTGGCTAATTTTTTGCCCATGTGGGCCTCCAACTGGTATCCTTCTATCTCTACCTTCTATGTAGCTAGGATTGGAGGGGTGAAGTATCATACACAGTTCTCCACATACCACTTCCTCCTCATCCTCCACCTCTATCATCATCATCATCATCATCATCATCATCGTCGTCGTCGTCGTCGTCGCCGTCATCATCATGACTTGTCTTATCCTATTTTATAGCCATGAGGCTCTTTTAAAATTCTACTAATGAATTGTCTCTTGGCAAGATTTTCTCATTGGTTGTAGTTGTGCCATAATAGTAGATGCACTTATTAAGATATACTTATCTAGCCCAATACCATGAAAGTACCTAATACTATAAGAAGAGAGTGAGTAGGTTGGTAACACAGGTGGGTTTGTTGCTTTTTCTTCAGTTTGGCTATGGAATGATAAGTATTCCCTATAATCAAGAACTCTAATAATAACAGTGCTGGAGGGGATGTGGACAGAAGGGAACCTTACTGCATTGTAGACTTGTTCAACCACTTTGGAAAGCAGTATGGAGGTTCCTCAAAAGACTCCACATAGAGCTCCCCTATGACCCAGCAATCCCACTTTTGGGCCTTTACACAAATGATCACAAACAAGACCACACTAAAGCTACCAGCACGACTATGTTTATTGCAGCATTATTTACCATAGCTAAGATATGGAACTAACCCAGATGCCCCTCAGTAGATGAATGGATCAAGAAAATGTGGTATATATACACAATGGAATTCTATGCCTCCATCAGAAAGAATGACATTGCCCCATTTGTTAGGAAATGGAAAGACTTGGAAAAAATTATAGTAAGTGAAGTAAGCCAGGCCCAAAGAAACATAGGTCCCATGGTTTCCCTTATTTGCAATAACTAGTATATGTCTGAGTCAAGCAGAAAAGGTCAGATAAGTTGATGTTAGGGGAATGAACCCCAAGATAAGTATTCAAATATTTTTTGTTTCTTTTTTCCTTTCATGCAATTGTTTCTAACATGTTTATAAGATGATTTCTTTGTAGCTTTGTATGTCCCTCCCCCACGGTATAACCCCTGCTTTCACTGTATTTGATGTTGGTATAATTTGTGGAGGGGAAGGGAAAAAACAAATTGTTTAACTAGGGATACAGGTGGACCCATTGCAACAATGAGATGGACAAGTCGTTAGTCGAAAATGAACTTTACAACTTTGGTGGGGGGTGGGGGAGG